GCTATACAAAGACCCTGTATTCTCCAATACTTTTCTAAAGGCTTCAAAACCTTTGTGAAAACATAACGGGCAGAGGAAAGACCGAACGGGAGCACAGTGAAAACATAAAATACTTCATTAATGGAATCAGACGCCCGCCATGAAAACCCCAGAAACGTTTGGTGCTCTTGCGCAATGTCGATATGGTGATAACCGCTTTATAAATCAAAGGAAAACATGTAAGCGTCTTTCGCAAAATAAGCCATAGCAATTTTCCTGTCCTCGTACTTAACGCTTTGCTTAATAAATGACTTATTGACATGGCGCAAATCAAGAATTAACTTCTTTTTACCGCATGGCTGTATAGAAACTGGCAAGGGATTTACAACAAAGGGCTGCTCATTAACCATACGCACCCGACCAGAAAAACAAGCTCAAGAACGGCTTGGTCCTCAAAATCAGCATGAAGTCGAGCTGATTTATTATTTCTTAGCTTTACGGCCAATGGAAAACTGATGAACGGCTGCCTGTAGCCGTTTTCAATAATAGACAAAATAAAATCCGGAGCACCTATAGATCTCCAGAAACCTAAATTATTCTTCAAATTACCCTTAACACCTAATGAATGTCCGCTTTCAAGTTCGTAATTCTGTGTAATTTGATCTACCTGCGCCAAGTCATCTTCATTGCTTTGGTTGAGTTGATTGGCCTGCGGTTGGCTTGTTGTAGGAGATTACAGGGCAAGAATTGTAGCTAGGGGACTGGTAACTTCTCGGCCAGAACATGGATCTACAGTCCTTGGTCCAGTGTCCAAATTTGCCGCATTTGAAACCGCGAAAGAAATCGTCAGAAGCGTCTCTACGGCCTGAAAGATAAAAGCAATGACGAAACCTGTAGTAAACGGGAGGGGGAGGGTGGGGGGCGTAAACCAGAAAGATGAATAAACTGTATGGAACCGCGAGCGTGAATGGTACTCGAGAGACAACGGAGAGTACAAATACTAATAACTGGCCAATCAAGACATCCATGCAAAACAGAATGCTCAATAGTGGGTGCGGCAGGTTTGAGACGAAAACAAGTGCGACTAATTACTTGGAGTTTCTGGGAAAATACATTTACGTTCTAATTCGCTTCGCTCAAACGAACGTAAATCATTTTACCCTTAAATTCCCGTAATACAAACAAATCACACGAGAAATATGGTAGGATGCGCAAGCAGATCCAAAACACATATGAACAAATACGAAGTAAAGAGGAGGCTCTTTTTCTTACCACAAAAAGCTGATTATCAGCGCCCAAAGCAACTCTTGGTTTCTTTCCACGATCACTGGAGAGTTGTTCCTTTTGACGTCTCTCTCTTGCGGCTCGCCGCTTCTCTTGCCTTCTTAAGAAGCTTTTCATCTTCGGAGCCGGATGCAAGCTCGTCCGACTCGTACTCGGCTACAACCTGCCAGCCGTCCCTACTTTTATCAGCGATTTTTTATCAGCTTCTGTCGCTTTCGAATACGTTGCCTGCCTTCTTGGGAAAGTTTCTTGATCTGCGACAAATTTGGCTCGATGCTTTCACTTTCAGTTTCAATGCTTTCAAAAATGGCATCTAATTCGGCATTAAGCTCAAATTGTTTCTGGTTACCTTTGAACTTTAGCTGTACAACTTCTTTATCTAGCTTACTCCTTTGTTCGATTTGCTTTCCTTTATCTTCTAACTTTTTCTCAAGAAAATCCTTAAACATGGAAAAGACTTGATCAACGGCTGCTGA